TCTTTGAGTATCTTAAATATGTTACTCTATTGTCTGTAGCATAAAACATTGCTGTTAAAGTTTGGCAACTCTGTTTTTCTTTCTTTTATAAACAACTTGTCCTTTTGGCTGGAAATAATTTTACTAGATTACTTATTGTGGTGGTCATTATGGGTTGATTTCCCCAGGTATGTGATGTGTTTTTTAAATATATAGTGTCAAGTTATTTTTCTGTTTCTTTGCTTTGCCCTCTTTGGCAAGTTTGTACCTTGGGAGCACCTTTTATAAACGTTTTAGATCTTCTTTGCCAACCTTTTCCATTTGTTACTTTCTTCCAATCTTTCAGATCTCCTTTTTCATTTCTTTTTCACTTTGAAAAAATTTCCCCCTTTCATTTCCTGCTTCTTATCTTTATTATCTGTAGTATCTATTCAGTTGTGTTCCTTCTAGTCTGTCCTTCATTGTGAGTTTTTCTTTTGTCTCTAATTCCTGAGTTCTGCCCATTCATTTCTGAGTTTTTCTAAGTCCAATTTGTTTTCTTAATAATGTTTTTAACTTGTTAGGGTTTTCATGTTTTATGGAGATGTCTAACATTCTATTGTCTGTAGAGATGTTATTGTGCTTATTCTCTTATTTCTTATAACTTTGGACAGGATTTGAGTTTGGTCCTTTTCTATTACTCATTTTTATGCAAATTCATTTTCCCAAACTTTTAGAGGAGGCGTAGGTTCAAAATAGCTTTTCTGACATCATAGTTCTGGTAGTGGTTTTTAACTCAAAGTATTATTTATAAACAATTCATTCATTTTTAAGTGTACAGATTACACAACTGTAGTGTAAGTGGTAGTTTTACACAATTTTGTAACCACTATCACAGTCAAGATGTGGAAGAATACTTTTACCCTCAAACTTTCTCATGTGCTTTTGCAGTTGGTTCCCTCCCTTCCCTTCACATCTGGTCCTAGGCAATTATTAATTTTCCACCAGTATATTTTACCTTTTACAGAATTTCAAATACAGGATATCTTACAGTATATATTAACATTTTTTTGGCTTGATTTCTTTCACAAAATACGGTATTTTTGAGATTCATTCATTTTGCTGCATACTGTTCAGTATTTGCAAATGTGACAGCTCATTTTCTCCTGGCTCTGTTCTGTAGTACTTTTGTCTTTTTAACAATTACCCTATTATCCCTTTTCTCCTCATTTTAGATTCTGTTCATAGGAGTTTTTCCTCAGTGTAAGATTTGTCCTAAAAAAGTGCTTTGCACCATTGGTTTTGTGAATTCATAGGGCCTAGAGTTCTCAAGCCCCTTCAGGCCTTACTGTGGACTCCTTGTAGTCACTATTATCAAATGTACAACCTGCACTCCCAATTTCAGCTCCTCAAAATATCCTACTATACTTTCCAGTGAGTACCTGGTTGCTGTTTTGTGTTGTTCCTGTTTTCCGATTGTTAGAGTTCTGTTGCTTCTGTCTGCTGCTTCTCACATGGTTGCTGATACCATTTGTGTCTTATTGTTCATCCCACCTGCTTGCATTTCAGGGTTCTTAATATCTTGAGATGCAGTCATAATGTAGTACATGTTATCTGTGGGTTTTAGTTTGGTTATTCTTTGTTTTTATAGCAGGATTTAGGGAGACAAAAACTGCTTGAATCTAACAAAAAATTATTTCAGTAAAATATTATATCAAGAAAAATACCAAAAAATTACAAATATGTGTTACATTGATGAAATGATACATTTTATTTCTACTTTTCATGATGTTGAGGGAGGGAGTGTTCTGCTTTTGTGATGGGGTATAGCCGTTTGTGTTTATGTATTTTCTGTATCTTTTACATATGTCTACCACATTATTGTCTGTTGTCTTAGATTGTAAACTAAGAAAGAGTGATTGATGCGTGGCATATGCCCATGAGAATTTGTTTAACTGTTTTTGTGAAGTAAAAACAAATATATACACTATAGATTTTCTGTCATAAATCCTTCTTTCTGAATTTTAACCTAGTTGTTAAGCAAAATAGGTAATAAAGTTTCACTATTGTGTATTTATTATAAGGTATTGTAATTGAACTTTTAAATCAACTCATACGATCTCCTTGCTCAGGAAGGAAAATGATAAAAATAGAAAAAAGCTTGCTTTATCTTTGTGCTGGGGATGGTTTCAAATCTTTTTTCGGTTTTCTGTAGAGACCAAGAAAGTGTTCTGCATAGGGAGCCAAAGAAAAAAATATTGAGAAACTTTCTAAATTATCTTAACTCAGTTGTTTATAGTATAGCTTTACAGACAACTTTTTATGTACTTAGATCATTAGATATACCTACATCAATATACATAAGATAAGCTTCCAAAGGAAATACCCTTTGCTTTGGGAATACTCTTTGTAAATACTCTTTCCTATCATCTACTAATTTTCATTATAGCACCAGTCTTTTATTTGTATAGGTCAGTGGTTCTTTAACTTTAATGTGCAATAGAGTCCCCTGATGCTGGGCCCCTCCCAACACCTGTTTCTGTTTCAGATAAAGACAAGAGAGAGGTATGTGTACATATCTAAGAGTGAGCACAACCAAAGCTATATAAAACCTTCATGGGGAAAATTACAGAACATTACTGTTGGATATAATAGACATGAATAGAGGAATATACCAGCTTTGATAATGTGATATCTCTAAGATGTTATTTCTCTCTAAATTAATTCATTACATATCAAATCAAAATACCAATAAGGGCTGGGTACAATGGCTGATGCCCATAATCCCAGCACTTTGGGAGGCTGAGGTGAGCAGACTGCTTGAGTCCAGGAGTTTGACAGCAGCCTGAGCAACATGGCGAAACCCCGTATCTACTAAAAATAGAAAAAAATTAGCTGGGCATGGTAATACATACCTGTAGTCTTAGCTCCTTGGGACTGATGAGGGAGGATTGCTTCACCCTGGGAAGTCGATGATGCTGCAGTAAGTCCTGATCGTACCATTACCACTGCACTCCAGCCTAGGCGACAGAGTGAAACTCTGTCTAAAAATAAATAAATAAAATAAAATAAAATAAAATAAAATAATCATAGCAAGTTTCTTGTGAAGACAGAAGATAAGTGAACCTAAAATTTACAAAGAAAATCAAAGGTCCAGGAGTAGCCAAGACAATCTTGAAGAGCAAGGTAGGGGCCTTGCCACTTTAGCTATAGATGCCAAGCCCTGGAAATTAAGAGACTGTGGTCCTGATTCAGAGATAGACAAAAAGATCAGTGGAACAGCATGGAGAAGCCAAAGACATATATAGAAATGCAATATGCAGTGAAAGTAACATTATAAATCAGCAGAGACATATGGATGCTCTCTAATTGCTACTTTGATCATTAGTTATATGGAAAATGTAATTGTATTTATAACTTCACACTATCCACAAAGATAAATTCTGGTTAATAAATTCAGAAAGCAGATCTTAAATTTATTAGAAAATATAATAACAAAATACTTAACTGCGGTTAAAATTTAAAAAGTACATATATCTTCATGTATAAATCTTAGAAATAGTGTAACATTGAGTCAATTTGTATGGTTAAGATAAAGTACCACTCATACAAAATGAAAAGCATGAAATGATACAGTTTTTTATAAAAAATGAAAACATGGTAATATACATCACATTCAAGATAATGTTTGCATCTTTTCTTTTACTAATTTTTTTAAAAAATTTGAGGCAGAGTTTCACTCTTACCCAGGCTGGAGTGCAGTGGTGTGATCACAGCTCACTGCAGCCTTGACCCTCCAGGCTCAAGTGATCCTCCCATGTCAGCCTTCCAAGTAGCTGGGACTATAGGCATGTGCTACCATGCCTGGCTGATTTTTGTGTTTTTTGTAGAGAGAGCCATGTTGCCCAGGCTGGTCTTAAACTCCTGAGCTCAAGCAGTCCTCTTGCCTTGGCCTCCCAAAGTGCTGGGATTACAGGTGTTGAGCCACTGTGCCTAGCCAGCGTTTCCTTCTGGAAATCGTAGAGGGATGTGATTAGGGAGGGATATGTGCAGGCTACAACTGTAACTGAAGTTTTATATTTTTAAATAAAAATGTTTTAAAGCAACATGTGACGAAACATTAACACCAAATGAATATCAAACAACAAAGAAATAGTTGAAGAAATTGTGGCATCTATATACTATGAAATATTTTTCAGCCATTAAAAAGAAAGAGTTGTAGCTAGGTCATTTTTATGGAGGGACTTTCAAGAATTATTAAGTGAAGAGAACAGGGCACAGAAATATGTTTATAAAATTATCTCAGTTTTTTAATATAGTAACATAATATATAATGAGCATATATTAGATATGCTTGTGTATGACCAAAATATGAACATGAAAAAATATGGAGAGATTCATTCTAGGCTGTTAACATGAGAGATAACAGTCATGGGAGTGAGGTGCTAAAGAAAGAAGAGAAGGATGAAGGAGTAGGGAGTCAAGAAAAATAGGAAACGAAAATGCACTAACCCAGCATAATATGATTTTGTTTATGTACTCAGGCAAATTTTTATACATATTTTTAGAAGGACTGTAGAATCACTTTAAAGAGTGAGAGTTAACCTAATTTACTATATTTGACTGGAGACTGTGATAGAAACAGATTTAGCAGAAAGTCCCTCAAAGAAAGAGTTACTCAGTGCCGTATTCTGTGGCTAGAGTATTTAAACAAATAACGTAATCAAATCGAAATGATGCTTTTCAGTTTTTCTCCCTTCATATTTAGTAACATAATGGACCCTAATTTCAATGAGTTTTTCTTTTTAAATAATGATAAAGAACTCACAATGTGCTAGGTGATATAAAATAGCAGTTAATAAAAAGTATTCATTTTAATATTTTATGAAATAGAGCTTTTTGGCAGAGAAACTTTAGCTCTTTCTTTCTCCTTCTTCAACTTGGGAAAGAATAAGGAATAAATATCTTTTTTCCAAGACCTAAATACCAGCATTTCATGATAATAGACAAGTTATCTTTGAAATTTTCCTTTTTTCTTTCAGTGTGCAGGATGACAGAATTCGAGTTGAAAGGATGGATAACATTTATTTTGAATACAGCCATGCTTTCCAGGCAGTTACAGAGTTTTATGCAAAAGACACAGTTGACATCAAAGGTAAATATTTTCCCTGTAGGTCCTGAAGTTGAACTGATTGGAAATTTGGATAAAGGCATGAGTATGATTCTCAATTTAATGACGTCTAGGTTGTTACTATAAATATGTGGGAGAAGAAGATCTCACTGTTGTTGTGCTCATCAGAAACACTATTGCACTGCAGTCCCAGCTACTGGTTAGGCTGAGGCAGGGGAGGATCACCTGAGCCCAGGAGTTTGAGGCTGCAGTGAGCTGTTATCACGCCATTGTAGTCCAGCCTGGAGTGAGACCCTGTCTCCTAAAAACAAAAAGAACCATTGCAGCTTTTTAAAAAATTATGACCAGCTAGTAACTTGATGGTTTTGACATATTCATTACAGTAGAAGGAGTTTTTGACCATCTTTCCTTTTTGCTTATCTTTAAAGATGGTTCATTAGTATCTTTGTATTTTGTAGGCTGTTTGGATGACAAATATTCTGATGAAGACTAGCATTTTGAAATGTTGATTGCCAAAATTATAACACCAGAATGTTAGTGACAGGGTTGAAATATGTTAGGTAATCATTATTTGTCTAATTCACATGTCCACAGTCAGGCATTAATGCTTACTTTCATTTGTACCTCACATTCCTGCCAGTTCAGCTTATGTTAGGGTCCATTTTGTGGATGGTGAGGTGAATAGACATTTTCCCCCTTGGCATAAACTTGGCTTCACTCTGATCTTCATCAGACCCCATATGGAGGAAATTTATCCCTGTCACATGCTAGAGAGCGTTCGTCATCAGCTCCCGATCACTGCTCCATTTAAACATCAGTATCTGGTTAGCGTTTCCTTGCATCTAGGCATCAGTGTCTTGTTAGCATGTCTCTTAATTTCATGATGCCTTCGTCAAATTGAATCAAGTGTCTGAGCATGTATCCTACTTCTTTTTATTTTTTTCGATAAGGTCTCACTCTGTCACCCTGGCTGGAGTGCGGTGGCGTGATCTCAGCCCACTGCAACCTCTGCCTCTTGGACTCAAGCAATCCTCCCACCTCAGCCTCCCAAGTAGCTGGGACTACAGGCATGCACCACCACACCCAGCTAATTTTTGTATTTTTTTTATAGAGGTGGGGTTTTGTCATGTTCCCTAGGCTGGTCTTGAACTCCTGGGCTCAAGCGATCCTCCCACCTCAGCCTGCCAAAGTTGCTGGGATTACAGGCATGAGCCACCATGCCCAACAAAGTGTACCCCACTTCTAACACCAGTATTCAGTATTACCAGGGGGTCATCTTATGTTCAGCTAAAGACCTGATTAAATCCCAAGACTACGATGACCCATTCGTGGTATCAGATTTACTTAAAAGACATGGGCCAGAAAACACACCTTGCAAGTGGAGCTTGTGTTCCCCTTAGTGGGATAGTCCTCACAGCAGTCTTTGTGGCAGTGCCCTGGAGAGTAGTATGAAGGAAGGAGACTCACATCGAGTGAGCATAAGCGCCACCCTGGCTTAGAAGCTCCATGCCCTTGAGGAGACCGTATTTCTTGCTGCAGTCTCTGCAGAAGACATGCCCGGTTGCAAAAGTCAGTGCACTGAGAGAAGGCCAAAGCTCTGAAGTCAGGTATTTATAATTCTTCTCAGTCCAGATATAATGTACTGATATTTGGTCATTTTTACCACAGGCAGTGCTACTTCTAACACATTGATACACCATCTTAATCACATTTTCTGGGGAACAAAGCTAGAAAGTTAAAAGAAAATAAAATTCTCAGTGGAACGGAAAGGTGTTGTTAGCACTTCATTTACACTCTGGTTTTATAAACACCTGTAGTTAATAAGATATTTTATATTACTGATTTGTAGAGAACATCTTGTAATATATATATATTTTTACTTTTAAAAGTAATTAATGCTTATTGCAAGAAAGTCAAACAACATAGTCGTATATAAAGAAAAAAGTAAAGTGCCTGCCCTCAAACTTGTCCTCTGCCCTTGCCGCTTATATGTCGGAGGGATTATCATTAAAATTTGGCATATATCCTTGTGTAAAAATCCACACATCCACACATAAATGTACACACATAGTTCTCTGTATTTGTTTATCATAGCTGGGATTTATTCGTTCAGCTAATTTTTTTGAATGCTTATTTTATATGCGAGGCATTGGGCATACAATAAGGAATAAAACAAACAAAAATTCCTGCTCTTTTGGAGTTTACATTCTAATGGTGAGAGATGGACAATAAAGTAAACTAGTGTGTTAGAAGGTGATATATGCTATGAAAAAAATAAGGCAGGGGAGTGGGTTGAACTTTTAAATAGGATGGTGAAGAAAGGCCTCACTGAGAAACGGCACTTGAACGAAGATTTGAATAGAGACTGAAGGAGTTAAGGGAAAAAGCCACATAGACGTGAAGAAACAGTATTTCAAGCGGAGACAACAGTAAGCACAAAATATCTTAAGGTAGGAGGGTGCTTGGCATGTTTAAGGAATAGCAAATAGTCGGTGTGCTGGAGCAGAGTAACTGATGGGAAGAACATTAGGAGGTGAGCTCAGAAATAAAGAAGAGATGGCAGGCAGATTGTGTAGGGTCACTGTAAGGACTTTGGCTTCTACTCTCAATGAGTTGGGGGAGTTGGAGGACTTTGGGGCAAAATAGTCTAATGATCTGATATACATTTTAAAAAGAATTACTCTGGCTGCTCTGTTAAGAATACCCTGTAGGGTGCAAGGATGAAGCAGTGAGACCAGATGGAAAGCTGTTGCAGTGTTTGTGGTGAGACATGAAAATGATCAGACAACTTTTTTCCCCCACTTAGCAACATGTTATAGATGGCCTTCTATATCAGTGCAGATAACTGGAAGTCATTCCATTTAGTTGGTACATAATAACCAGGATTTACCAAGCTTTACATAAGTACTATGCTGTTAATGTTGATTTAGGTGGCCTCTAGTTTTTTTAATACTCCAAAAGATTTTTCAAGTCACCTTCTTGTACACACATCCTCGACATGCAGTTTAGAGTATTTCTAGGCAAAAGGGATGTACATTTTATGTTTTGAAAAAATATCCTGTTCTCCAAAAAAGGTCCATTCCACCATCAGAAAAATGCCCTTTTTTTCCATGCCCTGGGTATTAGTAATGATTTACATTTCTCCAAAGGTCAATTTTAGGAGATATTGTCTAAATTAGTATTTCAATAACCATAAAGTTTTACTTAAAATTTGTGTTTCATAATGGTAATAAGTTAATGATTCTATTTATTACATTTTTGAATTTGATTAATTAAAAAAATTTTTTTAATAACAAGTTAATATATTCTGTTTTCTAGGTTCTCAAATTATTTCTGGCATTGTTAACTTAGAGAAGCCTGTGATTTGCTCTTTGGCTGCCATCATAAAATACCTCAAAGAATTCAACTTGGAAAAAATGTTCTCCAAACCTGAGTGAGTGATTCCTCCAAAATTACAAAAAGGGGGAGGCTATATTATGAACATTTCTTAAATTGAATTTGGTAGTACTATACTTAGAGAAGCTTGCCTGCTATTGATAGAATACTAGGGTGCAAGGATGAGCTGTTTGGTATTGTTGCTGAAGAATATTAAAAATATATTGATAGAATTCTGGCAAATAAATTGTATTCATGGTAGCTATTTGATATATTATGGTTTTGACTACAAAACTGTGCTTTATACTAACTGGATCCAGAAATAGTATTAAAAAGCATTCATAAAATTTTACCACCTTTCTTATTCTTGGTTTCATTTCTTATTTCATAGACCATAAAGTTAGAGAGAAAAGGGCCAGCTGCTAACACAGCTTTTTACAAGAGTGATTAACTGTGGATTTTGGAAATTTAAAAGCTCACAATTGACATTCTAGGAAAATACTTGTTTAATAACCAGTGGAACAGAAAAAAGTAGTAGGATACTTTTCTTGTCTTTTTACATTCCGCCTTCACCAGCCACTTGTCTTTGGCTCTGTCAAGAATCACCCTCCATTATATTGATCCGGGATACATCAGCTCTGTCCCATTCTAGAAGGTGGGAGGGGAGATGGGTGCTATCTCAGCAAAATGACAGAATATAAATTAACTAGGAAACAAGGAGGTGGTGCTGGTTCAAGGTTGCTGGAGAGAGTCAAAGAAAGGCAGGTTCCTTGGGGTTCTTTTTGTAATGTCTTTGATGTGTGTTCTCCCGTCTGGTACTAGAACAGAGTATCATTTCTCTGGAAACAATTTTATCGTATTTAAAAGCAATCTAAATGCCCATCAGGGATCTTTGTGCTATATTCATGCAATGTAATGTTATACAGCAGTGAAAATGAATGAACTAGAGCTATTAATATATGACCAATACTTAAATTTCATGAACAGTATATTAAGCCAAAAATAAAGTTGCTGAAGGCCACACAGTACCTACCATTATATGAAGTTAGAAACATGTGAAATCATACTCTATACTGCTTAAGAATATATATGTACTTAGGGAATAAGTGAAAACATGCAGGGGAGTGACAGAAAATTCAGAAGCAGGGTTTCTTCCAGGAGGAAGAAGGGAAAGGAGTAAAGATTGGGGATGGATGTGGCATAGTGGAGTTCAACTGATGTTTCATTTCTGAACCTGGGTATTGCATTAATCTGGACATTTTTTAGTGTGGCCAAAATGTTTTATTTTAAAACGTGTCAGCCCAGCATTATACCCTCATTGGATTCTACTTTAAGCTCCAAAAATAAACTTATTAAAGAGATCAGTCTATATGGTTGGCTGTGTTGGGGCTTTTTAAAAAAGGGGTGACAAGCTACCTACCAGTTTGACTTGTTAATGATAGGGACCCTGTAAGTGAGGTAGAATTAGTGATAAATAGCTTGCCCATTAAGACTTGTGTTTCTGTTCTATATCACCAAGCAAAGAAGTATTAATGTTGGAGTAAGGAAACTAACTTAAAAATCAGGCCCTGGTGTGTTCAGAAGCAAATGAATTTGGACCTGGAAAGATGTGTCCTCCCCATATAGATATATAGATATATATATATATATATTTTTTTTTTTTTCTTTTTCTTTAGATGGAGTCTAGCTCTCTTGCCCAGGCTGGAGTATAGTGGTGCGATCTCAGCACACTGCAGCCTCCACCTCCTGGGTTCAAGCAATTCTCCTGCCTCTGTCCCCCGAGTAGCTGGGATTACAGGTGCACGCCACCACGCCCAGCTAATTTTTTTGTATTTTTAGTAGAGACAGGTTTGGCCAGGCTGTTCTTGAACTCCTGGCCTCAAGTGATCCGCCTGCCTTGGCCTCCCAAAGTGCTGGGATTATAGGCGTGAGCCTCTGCGTCTGGCCTGTCTTCCTCATATTTAATTCAAAGTAAGAATAATACCAAACAATAAAACAAGATGTCTATATATACTGAAATTAAAATAGCATCTTTTCAAATTACCTGAAGGTTAACCTCTTGATAAATTGAAAGAAGCTGAACTTTTTGCCTCTTAAAATTGATGGTGGAGGATGGTCAGGAAACTGGCTCTACTAGTGACTTAGTGTATGATATAATGTACCTGTTGGGTACTTCCATGGAGCCAAAGCCAAAAGACATAAAGTGCTCCCCTTTGTATATATTCCCAGCATCCAGCATAAGCCTGGCACCTAGTAGGCTTTTATTATGTATTATTATTATTATTATTATTATTATTATATATAGTATTAATACAGGATTAATGAAAGAAGGAAGGAATTCTTTGTTCTGTGAGGGTGTATTTCACTGGAAATTGCCAAAAGGTCATTGGAAACCAAGATTAATTAATGAAGATGGTGATCAAACTGGTACTCTAGTTTTGCTTAAAAACGAAATGTTGTGTTTATGAGTGGCATGTAATTTGACTCTGAAGATCATTCTAAAAGAGTAATTCTATAGTTCTTATATTTTGCAAAAATAATGTTGCTGCCTTTTTTTTTTTTTTTTTTTTGAGACAGAGTCTCGCTCT